GCAATATATGAAAGAATGTACAACCCCACCCTCAACAGGGAAGGGGGGCTACGGGTCGATCTTTCCGGTACTTGGGAATTGGCACTCCCAGCCCCGAGAACAGACAACACTTAAGCTCCTGTTCTGTATAACAGGAGCTTTCAGACTAATTTGCATCATCTTGTCTTGACTTGTCTGACTTTTGTTCCTTTTTCGACTTCCAAAAGTTTGTCTTCACTTTATTTGCATATCAATCAATAGGTTGTGCTTATAAACCTGTTTTCCCCTCTGGTCTCTCAGTCACTGACGAAAGCTAGTGGATACTAACTGAAACGTCTGACGTTTTCAAAATCATATCCAGTTGCTTGAGTAACTGCTTTTTGGCGAACCATGTATTTACTTTTAATTCAATTTCTGTAATCTGCAATATTTCAGGACGCACACCGCGCCTGGTCTGCTTAGCAACGGCTGCCTTCCTTGGCTTGTGCATCGTCGGCGGAGTCATTCTCTTGTTCTACTTGAGCACAAACCCACCACAGGTGCGTATACGCCTTGTCTCGTTTTTGGCAACGTCTCAGGGAGGAGCCTAATGGTACAGTATTGTGTGCAGTTTGCAAGAATTCTAGGAATGGTACAGGCATTTTGTCCACAGGAATGGAATGTCCACAGGCATGTCTCTGACCCACATTCTATGCCCACATCCCTGGAACCCTTGGGAAGACCTCTTCGAATTCCAAGATGGCTCTACTTTCTGTGACCCAGGGGCTCGTTCACTATACACTCAGGGGAGGAGTGCACTGTATCTGATTAGACTTAGTAAAGCCTTCCTCAAAATCATGAAATGCTGTCAGTGCCATGCTAACAGCAACCACCGTCGCCATGGCAATATTTGTTTACATTGCCAGTCTTGTTGTTTTTATTCGTCATTTTTTTTTTAGTTTTCGTTACACCCTACCAATGCACCAAGTATGAAACCAATCCATCCAGCCGTTCTTGAGTTGTCTTGTTGACCAACAGACATACAGAATGACAAACGCAACTGCCAAATATAACCATGGCGAAGGTAATGACAATATAATCATCTCTCAACAGTCACCAGCAACTGCGGATACTACTACTACTGCTTCTGCTACGACTACTGCTGCTACTACTACTGCTGCTTCTACTGCTACTACTACTACTGCTACTACTACTACTGCTACTACTACTACTACTGTTGCTGCTACTACTACTACTACTGGTACTACTGCTACTTCGACTACCAGTACTACTGCAGCTGCTGCTAGTACTACCACTACTAGTTTTGTCTCCACGTTCCCGGCAGTCTCCAACACCCCACAAGTGGAAGGTGAGTCTTTTGTGATCTCTACCGGTAGTATCAGCTTGTACTAGACCTCAAACTATCCCATAACATCTATCTATCTGTATATGACCATTCTACTCTACAGCTCTGAGTCATGGGCTATGAGTGCAGCCCAGAACAAGAAACTGGATGGTACATACACAAGAATGTTAAGAACAGTGTATGATTCTACACTTGTGTCACACACACACACACACACACACACACACACACACCTGATATATGTA